CCCCAAAACCCCAAAACCCCAAAACCCCATGAAGATAGATTTAAATTGTAGATTGTATTTATGAAATCAAAATTAATAATAGAACTCTCAAAATTCAAAGAAATCCAAATCAGATTTGATTTTCAGTCCAAGATCATTTGATATATACTCATTTGTCCTATCCACGTTATTTGCTAACTCTTTAGTAGAAAATAATAAATCCTGTAGCATGCTATTCAAGTTTGTTAGCTTCTGAATATTCTCTTTTTATTGCTTTTTCTCTTCGTTTTTGAGTAACTTCTCACCAGATATTAATCCTCCAGGACCACCTATTCTCATTCCGTTTCTACCAGTTAAATCATGCGTCATTCTTGTATGATCACTTTTCAAATTATCTGTTGAACTGGCTGCAATGGTTTCCTTTGGATCTTTGTCGCACAGCACGAATAACTCATCATGTATGGATAGCTCGATGAACTTTGGAGGATGCAGCCAAACGTAAGGCTTTTTGTTGTTTCTGAATTCTCTAGACTCTCCCTTGTTTTAACCGTTACCCATATAAAAATCATCAAACTATCTCTTATAGACACCAATCACAATCATATTGAAATGCTTGAGACAAGTTTCAAACACACTTGCGAAGCTAAGGTTAGTGCACTTCTTCGGTACCTCAATTAAAAAGAGACTGCTCTAGCTAAGATTCAGCTATCTATAGATTTTCATTATTTTTTCTGGGGTGTTGGCAGAACCCATAATTAATTAATCTAGTATTTCAGTTATCTTGGGACTGTAATAAGCTTGACACATTAAGGAATCAAGTAAAGAACTGACATATATTTCACCAGATGCGAATGGTCTGCTCATGAAATAACCTTATTTCTGATAGTTCTCTTCATTACCACCTTGCACCAAGAATGCAATAGCACCCATTTAAGCAAGTTCTGTCACTATAATGACATTTTTGTAGTTGGCTTCAATAGTCTTATACATAAAAATTGCATCAGCATCCAACATATTTTGAGATGAGCCTCCACTGCCATTTGTGTTTGAATTTTCATAGCTCTTTGCCAAAATAATGATCGCCTTTGCTTTTTAAACTCTAGCTCTTTCTAAATCTGCTGGATTCAATGCAGATCCTTTGATTATATAAATCTCCTCAAATCTATTAATCTCACTCCAGATGAAAGTATCCCCGTTTAAATCTTCATCACCAAGATTCTCATTAGATAGTATAATTATTGGTCGTCTTTATGAGCCTAGTGTCTTTGATCTAAGAGGTAAAATAAGATTCTTGATACCCTTCACTATACCGCATACAATGATGTGTCCCTCAATGCTCTTATCTAACTTATTTTTAATACGGGCAGCATTGAGTGGCATAGGCTTTTTAGTTGAGAAGAAGTTCTCATAGTTGATCTATTTTTAGCTTGAATGATCCTCAGCTAGCAATCTGGCTAGATTTTCATTTAGATTTATAAATTCCTTCTTATTAATAGAGTGAACACCTTCTTGTCTGTTGATGTATTCATTGATATTCTCACTGTCATTCTGATTGTTATTTGTATTTCTACTCAGATCGATTTTATTTATTTCATCAAATTCAGGGTTTTTGTGATGAATTACATAGCCACAGTGGTCTTCAGAATCAAAAATATACTCTGAAGGGTTCACAAACACCTTAATTTGACTGGCAATTTTGATCTCAAGCGCGACCAATATGAGTCCTCTTTTAAGAAATAAAATCATGCAGATGTCCTTGTACTTGAGGCCCTCAAACTTATCTTGCTTTAACATGACTCTATAGAGTTCATACTTCGTTCCTGACTCATACTAGAGCTGCCATCTTTCCTTCCATTCGCCCTTTTTGTCCATAAAGAAGCCTGGCTTCTAGTTTTATGATATAGGTTTTGGTATTGGCTAGTTGTTGCTGTTCATAGTCTAGCCTAAGTTTAATTTGTCATAATTGGACCTCTAATCTTTGAAGTAGTTGTGAATGCTAAGTAGTTCCATCTCAGGATCGTCATCATCATTATCTGAAGCACCTGTGGTGTTGCTAGTTATCAAAGACCATATTATGGTAATAATGCCAGGACAGATGCTTGACTTTGCTAGCAACTGAAGTTTCAACTCTTCCACACAGAGTACCTAGTCGATCTTATTAGTGTTAAGCAAAGCTGTGAAGTAGAGATCCTTGTGTTCAGGCTTTACTAATTAAAGGCAAAGCCTCATCTCCTTTTAAGAATGAGTTCTGACATACTTCTTGACTGCAAGAGCATTTAATATGTTTCTTTGGTCTTCCAATATTGGGTTTCTACAAAACTAATTGCTTAGAATGACACAACATTTAGCTTTATCAGCCATTGATCTTTTTAAGTCCTTGTGATGAATAGGGTTGCCTTCAATATATGTCACCTTGTTTTCAAACTGCGCCTGTTTAAGTATAATTGCCATCTCTTCACTAGGCTGGCTATTTCGCATAATGACTACATTAGTCTCGGTGACTCCATGATCACTATGATAGCATTCAGTCAAGAATGTTTTGATAGCTTCGGCTGATGCATCACCCAGCAGTAGAATATGCTTAGTATCCTTCTTACCCTTGTTAGAGTAGTATTTCCTAGAGTAGATTGTTGTTAAATTGCTGACTTTTGAAAACTCTGACAGCTAAGAAGGGATTAGAGCCAAGATCACTATAATGATACCAATGCACATCATTTGCCCATACACTGTCTTAGGGTATATATCTCCATAGCCAACAGTAGTGATTGTAGTAATCATGAAGTATAGCATATCGTGAAATTGATACTCATCATCTGGTGTGTTCTTCTCATCATAGGTTAGGGTGATGTTGTTCGCTTTCTTGAACTAAATTCCCTTGATGTTATCATTAAGCCAATTGTTTTCAACTAAAAGCAAAGCTGCTGCAAAGATTATTACTGTAGCCAGAATGATATAGATCAGTCGGAAGTAGGCTCGGACCAAGCCCATATTTCTGCGAGAAAAAAACTTGTCCAATCTGAAGATAGAGAAAAATCTGAATACTCTGCAGAACAGGAGGTACTTCATTTTGTAGGCATCTGTTACGACCTTTGCCCTGACTAGGAAAGTAGGTATTATAGTAATGTAGGAGACAAAACTCTGAGCCTGCAAAATGAAAAATAAGCGATTCTCTGATATGTAGAAAAAAAGCAAGTAATCAGCTGAGAGATAAATAACTATAACTAGTTCTATATACTGAATCACACTAGAAGTACCATTCGGGTAAGTGTCAAGAGCAAAGAATATTGTCAGTATAAAGCTCAGTACTGCATTAATGAATTCTATGCCATCTTCAGTCCTCGTTGTAACCAGGTACTTCGTAAGCCTTAGAGCTATAGAGGTCTTAATAACTTCTGATTTCTTAATGTCCTCATCTTCTTCTATTTTGCGCTTGGTGAAGTTAGAGTCAGAGGTCTTGAATAGAGGGGGTTCCTCTTCCTAAATTATTGACATTTAAATTCAAATAAGGATATTGTGATTAATCAATATAATTTTCCTGATTTAATCTTTAATTATTTAAACTTTTGATTATCAAAATTTACACTCTATTATTACC